GCAGCCACCTATGCTGTCTATAGCGGGGAGAGAGGTGGCACGCAGTGCAGTGCCAGCTCTCGGGTAACGCTGTATATTTGCAAATACGATGGTGTGCATCGCTGCCAGTCAGTTGGGCCTATGTCCAATCTGCTGAGGAGCTGAGTTTTTTAGTTTTATATTCCCTCCTTTTTCTGTATCTTTGCTAAAAAATTACTAAGAAATACTGTTTTTAAAATGAAACCTTTGTGTGTTCTTACTCCCCTTACCTGCAAGGTGTTTTTATATGTGTGTTGAGGGAATTTTACTTTTTCACTTCTTGAAATGGTGGTAAAGCTGATAGCAGCTACCTTTCCAGGGGAATGAGTGGAGAGCAAAGCATTCAGGTGAGCTGGGATGTTCCAGGGGCTGGCTGAGTTGCAGCATTGCTGCTGGGAAAGCAGTCTCTATTTGGTCTTAGTTCCTCTGAGACCTGACAGATTTGTAAGCCGTAGCCTTTAGCTGCTGCTTTGATTTTGAGCGCAGAGTGCTGGAATGAGGTTTTGTTCTCAAAACAGAGAAAGAAGCAAGAATGACAAGCGTGTGTAAGGAAGCAGAGACAAAAAAAAAAAAAAACAGCCAAGAGTAATTCCAGCCAGCAGGAAGGATATAACTGAAAACTTGAGGAGTTACTAGCAAAGCTTTTTTTTAATTTTTTTTTTTTTTAAATTGCTTAGGCCATGTTAGTGCAGAGGTGAGATAATGGGGCTTCTTAGATGCAGCTCTTCTCAGTCTCTGATAACAAATGGCAGTTGGGATGACTTTAAATCACTGGAATGCAAATCTCAAGGCTGTGGAAGTGCCACGCGGTAGGGCGTAGCTGCAGTGTCTCCTTTGAGCGTTGGGGAGGAGAAGAGTCTTCTTAAGGTAAACTGGCTCAACATATAGGGAGGGTTGGAGCTGAAGCATGCTGTCCTCCAACTTGAAAGCCCTATGGAGATGAATGGATTAGTGTGCAAACACAAGCTCTGTCTTGGAAAGATGCTGTGGAGATCTGTCCCTCCATGCCAAGTGGAATGGGGCACCTCAGGTTTCCCTTGTTGCTTTCATTTGGTGTTTGGACTTTCTGAAGTCCTTCAGCCCCAGTGTGGACATAGTCACTACCAGTAGAATTATTCTGGAAAAATCTCTTGCTGCTGTTATTTGTTCCCTCTATTCCGCCACAGGTTTTTTTTGTCAGTCTCCACTTCGCTATCAGTTTCCTCCAAAGGGAATTGAATTCAGCAGTTTGAGACAGTTAACCATATAAAACAAATGCTTGTGTAGGTGGCTGAATTAATCTAGTCTGTATTTCCCTGCCAGCATTCCAAGTGGACAAGAGGTGGCATATGCCATGGCTGATCTGGAGCCACATGTTTCCGATTTGTTTGGCAGGCTCAGGCTATATATGTTAGCTAGGTTTTTCCAGCATTTGTTTCTGTTGGACACTAATTTATGTTGGGGTTTCTTCTATGCTCAGTTGATGATTTTCATTAAACTTCTAAGAACCTAAAAGATAGGAGAAAACTGCTCTCACATTAAGCTGATGTTGGCCCACACACTGAAAAGTTTGGACTCAGTACAACCTTAGAAAATACATACTATTGCTGTGATGGATCTTGGCAGCCTTGGGGTGGAGGTGAGGAGGTACAGGTAAGATTTAGTGCCTGGATTATTTTCTTCAGTGTTTTAGTCCCTGCCTAGAAGTTGGAAGTGGTGGTGTCCAGCCTGAAACCCTGAAAGTCATCTGCTAGAAGTTGTGATGCTGCTGTATGGCTTGTGGGAGCCAGGGCTCTTCTCACAGCTTCAGTCACCACAGCGGTGCAATTATGTGACGGTTCTGTTTTTTTTTGGGCAGGTGAGACAGGGAATCCTACAGGCAGAAAAGAAGTCTAGAAATTTGAATGCTTAAAGCAGTAAAAAGGCAACCCCACTATTTTCGTTGCTACAACTCAATTTTAAGAGGATTGGGGCAATCAGTCTCCAGACTTTTTTGGGACTTGTAGTAGTGTAGATCTGTAGCTACTCAAGCTGTCAAAATACTTTGATTTTGCTTGTGCTGCATTCCACTTACAGTACTGTTTAAGATATTTACCTTTCACTTGTAATAGTCATTGTGTTCATAGTTGTTCTGTTTTGTGTAGTTCATGAAATACCTTTTTTTTTTTTTTGACTTGGAAGTGGCCAATTGCTTTGAGACCAGCAATTAAAATGCCTGTAAAATGTCTTTGAATCAGAGCAACTGTTGGTGATGAGTAGACTGTGAAAGCACACAGGCTGAAACATTTCTCACAATGGCCATAGCATTTTGTAAAACAATTACACAATTCCAGGAAATTAAATGCAGCATTTCACACTGAAAATAACTGAGTTTAAATAGTGGAAGACAAAGAGGAGGGGAAATAAGATGAAGAAGAAATGATGGGAGGGGAAAGGAACACACAGAGTAAAGATTATTTCCTACTCTAATATTTCAGAAAAGATACTGACCCTGGCCATACTAATGGGAATTGTTAATATATCTATGCTCTGTATGTGTAGGATATAACCTTACTAAGTAATTCTGGAAGTTCTTACATTTCCCCCCTTGCTTTTTCTATTGGACCTTAAAACTTTCAGTTTTGGGTCTCACCAAAGTTTCTGTTTGATCCAGTGTCTTGTCCAACAAGAGCATAAGCTTAGGGCACGTGTCCCTGCATGGGAATTTTACCGAATTGCTGGTGGTCAGTGCTGCACAGATGGGCTGGAGCTGAAGCCAGGACCATCATGTTAACAGTTGCCAGTGGGCCTGTCCTCCCTTGTCTCCGCAGCCGCAGCACAGTTTTGTGGAAATGAATGAAAATTTTTATGTGTGAAAACTATTACTTTCTGATGTTTGAAACGATGATATCTGATAATATGAATATAAATAGATTGTTATCATATTTTACTTAAAATGCAAAGTGTAAGGGTCTCCTGTTCATCACTTTCATTTATATTCTAAGAATACGAGAGACCTGCTCAGGGCTCAAGATCCCATGGTTAGTTGTCAAACATGCATAGAGAAAAAGGTCTTCATACACCCTTCAGACCTACAGTTCAATGTTCTACCAAGTCACAAAGTGTTAGTGACTTCATTTGAATTGCATCTCGAGATGTTCTTTGGTCTTGCAACATGCTGTGTGCCAGTTATTACAAAGCACTATAAATTTAAACTGGGAAATTTAGAATCTGCGTACTGCTGATTACTAAATAAGTTTACCTCACATTTCAGCTGTGTTACAGCTGTTGGAACAAAATCAGGGAAACTGGACTTTATGGCTTAAAGGTTTTTTAAAAGCTTCATTGCAGAAAAAAAAGCACTAGAAGGGACTGGAAAAGGTCATCTTCCCTAATCCTTTGCCTCCAGGTATTATCACCTAAGCCTAAAGTTTAGCAAGTGTTGGAGCTGCTAAGAGCTTTCAGCAAGGGGCAGTCTCTAGTCTGTTGATGTAAATGCACCAGGTTTACAAAACAGAATTTTTCCAGTATGTTTTTTCAATAATTCTGTCAAATACTGTTACTAACTCTTAGTAGGCTTTTATTCTGCACATAGATGTTTTTAATACCTCCAATATTCAGTAAGACTTTAAATGTTTTGTTTAATAATTAATCTGTAGTTTTGGGATCACTTAGATTTGTGAGATGGATTAGGATATATTTAGTTGCTTAGTTGAATCATCCCTATCTGAATTTTGTAGGTGAAGAGCAACATGAAGGAATGGAACTATTGAGAGAACCTCTTATAGAAAAATTACCCCCCTTAGCAGAAAACTGGAGAAATCCTTAGTTAACCTATTAATTCAATACTGAAGTGCCTGCAAAGTGTTTTCTGATCAGTAACAGTCATTACCTTTCATAATTGTGTGCAGTTATATGGACCTTATATTCACATATATTCCCCTGTTAGCCAATAGATTTAGTTTCTCAGCTTGTTTTCCTCTGTCTTGAAGCTTTTACTGGTGCATTTACATTGTACAGCGAGTGCAATTACACTTTGATACCACTTGATCATTTGGAGTGAGTGTTACCACTTGATCATTTGGAGTGAGCCCTTAAACATGAGATGACCATCAATGCCACAAAGATTTTGTGTGGTGAATCTCAGGGGTCCTGAAGGGATCGCTGGGCTCTGCCCCTTCTTATGGCTCTCTGCTGTGGCAGCTGTGCTCTGTTTATTCATCGAGGCAGGCTGTTACTGCTTCTTTTCGAGTTGGGACTGCTCCTGTGTTGGGGTGATGTCTCTGTTCTGGTCTCTGAAGTAGGTGCTGGACTAGTAAAAAGGCAACCTAGACATGTAAACAGGGAAGCCTAAACAAGTAAGGAATTAAGTCTTAGTCAGCTATAGCAGAATCCTAGGAGTTGTCCTCTTCTAGACTTGTTTTAAATACTGAAATACTATTTAGTCTTTGCTATACCCATATCTATAGAGATCAGTTTCCCTTGATGGGTAGTAGGAAGTACCCTTTAATGAGGAAAAATGGGTTGAAAGTGCTCACTCTTTATCACAATTCATATAAAATTGTTAGGTTCTTTCTGGTATAACTAGAAATCTACTTAACTGTAATGATGTCACTGAAATCCTGGCACTTTTAACTGGAAATCAGTTGTATTGCTTACTTGGTTTAAAAACAAACAAATAAATCAATGAACCTTAAACCCCAAGTCTCTGCTGGGGTACAGGTTCCTGTGAGGGTTAGGAACTTAATAGATGTACAGAGAGAAAACCATGCATTTGGAGTCTAAACTATGAAAATGGTAGGTATTGAGTACTTCTCAACTAAAACCAAACAAGTGCAGCTTGGGGTTTTCCATTAAAAACAGAACAAAAAATCCTCTTGTATATGTTTACCCAGCCTTGTAATAAAATGTTATGATACACTGCTTTTCCTGATCATAGTAAAGGTGTTTATAGTGAAATGAATTTCATTATAATATTTTCGTGGAAGCTGTGCATAATAGACATATTTTTTTTTATTCAACAGGCAATCAGCTGTAAAGGTCAGCACAGTATCTCTTACACATTATCCAGAAACCAGACTGTTGTAGTGGAGTATACCCATGATAAAGATACAGACATGTTTCAGGTAAGACACTGTTCAATACATGCACTGTTTTTTAAAAGCAACATATGGAACTACAATTCTGCATTATGTTCGTCTGAGTATTCTCTGTGATCTGTGAAATTTCCATGTTTGGACCCAGTGGCATTAATATGGGAGCATTTTGAAAATTTGCATTGTCTTCTCTTCTCAACCAGTGCCAGTATCTGTTAATATTGTTGCTGCTTTTGCTGTACTCTGCTTTTTCTGCAAGGACAGTGTAGGAACTGTACAAACAGTACTAGGAAAAAATGTCTGCTCTCTTTGGGTTCATGAATAAGCGCAAGAATACACCCGCCACCCTTCAGTTAATCAAGTAGCTGGAGTAAAAAGGAGGTGAGTAGGGTGGCAATGGGGAAGGAGGAAGGTAAAAGGAAAGGTAGGGAGGGGAATATGGAAGCTGTGCACGAAAGGAGACAAGCCAGTGATAGGACGATAAAGAAAACTGTTCTTGAAGGGTCTGCCAATGTATCAAATGGCATAGGGAACTGTGCTGAGTTTCTCTAAGCTACCATCTATCCAATATGTTTTCACTCTCTCCTGTATGCATTTGTGTTTATCTGCATCATCTAACATTCTGGTAACCTAAGTTATTTTCTTGTGCAATGCTTATTTGGATATATAATGGGAGCAGAAATTCTGTACAAAAGGACTCTTCAAGCTTGGGGAAAAACCCCACAAATAACGCACAACCTTTTCTAATCTTGACTAATCAGGTCTGTCTTGTCAGTGACCTCTGTAATTAGAGCATCTTATCATAAAATGTTTTCCCCCCTCATTCAGGCTTTCATATTTAGAAGGGTCAGCAGTTGAGTGTTGTTGACAGAAGAGGAAATAGCTCTGTCAAGATGTCTGTGCTTCATGTGGCTTCTGTTCTTTGCTATATATAAAATTTTCCCAGTGTGACTTTTGAACGATTAGGTCCAAATAGGGATTGATTAAAAACCAGTCTTGTTCATTTGCTGCTGCATGAAGGATTGTGCAGCTGGAGTGAACTGAAATAGGTTTTCCTGTGTAGACTAGTAAAAGAAAAATGTATCCCATCCTTTATAGTTACCGTGTGATACTACTTTATCTCTGCAAAATGCTTCTGTGCCATGAGTAGCTCCAGTGAAACTTCTTCCTGTATGTAAATTTTGAAAAGTCATTTTTAAAAGCTGGAATTTTTTCACTACTTGTATACAGTAAAAAATGAATAAAGAAGAGTTGCAAAACAGCTGCTTTTTTGTTGTATTGTACAGCCAGCTCTTCTTGATTGCATACTGTCCTAGTGGTGGTTACAGCTTTTACTTGGTGGAGTATTGATAAAGAATTAGATAGGTTGGGGTGCTTAGCTGTCACTCTAATAAAATCTGACAGCCCGAGGTGAGGAGATGCAGCATAGGCAATGCAATGCTCCACAGCTTCAGGTGACTCTTGTCTAAGGCAGTAGGTTAGGGGAGCTAATCAAGGATGCTTTGGATCTAAAGCAGGAGTTTAGCTCAGTGAGGAATGGGCTAGTTAAGCATAGTGTAGCCCAGCTAACAACGTGTCTTTCCTTGCTCCCCTTGTTGATCTGTTGTTGCTCAGCAGAGGAGGAATTTGCACAGGGTAGTTACACTGAGACAGCTTGGACTGTGCTGCCTGACCCAGAGACCTGCTGCACTTCCACGGTTGGCACTGGAGTGCACATCTCTTACTGCCACTTCACAAGCACAGGTCATGCTTTTTCCTTCTGACAGCTCTCAGGTGCCTGGTGAAATGTCACAAAAGCCCTAATTTTGGCCCATTTACTAATTAACCTCTGAGGGCCTGCCTATGGTTCAGGCATTTATCTGTAATACATTTGTAGTTACGTGACTGCTTTGGTTTGTAACAGGTCAAACTATCCCATCTTAATAACAATAAAACCTTTTGAGCTGAATCTTGTGTTGGTAGAGTCTCAGTCCTTCTGGTGCTCCCCTCAAATGGCTAATGGGTCAGTGTTAAGGCTTCTGTATTGTTAAAATTCCTCTTTTCAGTGCAGTCTGTTTCTTCTGTCTTCAGATGTGTAGACTGTCATGCTGTGACTTGATCTCAGCTTCACCTCAAGCACTGCCCTGGCTCATGTTTCCACTCTCTGTGGTTGTCTTCTGAGGATCGCACTCCACGTGTTGGCCTAGAGGGGCTGATAGCCGTGAGAATGGGAAAAGGAACAGTCTGGCAGACTGTGGCATTATTTCACTGCTCAAGTGATGCCAGACAGCAGTTTAAGAGGTTTTTGTTACTTAGATGAGCCATTAGATTTTAATTATTCTCAGTAATCTGATTGAGAGCAGTCAGGGGAAAGTTACTTGGACTGTTTTGTGCAGCCCTGTGGTACATGATGACAAATGACATGTCTGTTGGTCTACAGAGTAAAGTCTTACTGTTGATCAAGCATCACTTGGATAGGCAGTCCTCGGAGCTTGCTCTTTTCTTTTCAAATGTGCTTTCCTGGCTTTTGTAGAACACTGGCAAAGAAGCAGAAGCTGAAAAGGGAAGGATAATGCCTGGACCACACGATTAGTTTGAGGCCCCTCCTTGGCTGCTGATAACACACATTATCTTGGGAAAATCACTTAACTTTTTTTTGGCTCAACATTCCCCTCTGAAATGGGATAGTAGCACTGCATGACTTCTCTAAAGTAACCCTAGTAAGGAATGTGAGAAGCTTAGAATGGCAGTTGTTAGTAATGCCTTTATCAGTGGGACCTGAAATAGGGAAAAGGGATGGCAGAGGTCTTTGTTTCTTGGTCAGGGCGCTGTTTCTAACCTGGGAGGACTGATTCCATTGGGTTAGAGCTGGTTTCCTGTGTAAACAAGAGAGACTCACAGTTTGCAAAAAAGCTGTCGCCTTTTTCCTTCATCCACTTTGAGAGTGTTGTGAGTCCTTTTCTTTGAAGGAAAATGTGAGAAGTGTAAGGTTGGTGACTTGCATTCTGCAGTTTTTCTAGAAACAAACAGGAAAAATTTGAAGACTGCAAACCCAGAATAACTTCTTATTTTATGCTTCCAAGCTTATAACCAAGAAGAAGCATGAGTAGATGCTTATCAGAAGTGAGGCACACGTGGACAATGTGGGGAGACTATACAAGGGGCAGTAAGGAAATTCAGAAGGCATTGGAGAGCAGTATTCAGGCTGTCTAAATACCAATTTTCTCAACATTTTCCATAATAAAATGAAAATGACCATATTTTCATGCATATTACTTAGCAGTTAATAAGTGGCTTAAATCACCATGCACGTACTATACCTGCCCCACCATGAAGGTTACATGCATATTCAATAGATGCACAATGAAGTTTCCTACAGTAGCCATCCTACCCCTTATTATTCTTCTAGGTTTTTTCTGAAGGTAACATGAAGAGTTATTTACAAATTAGCATAGTCTTTTCAGAGTGTTTGAATATATTACTCAAAGCACTAACGAGGAAAGTTATTACTTCTTGAAAGCTGGAAAAAAATGCAGAAATGGGTGTTCTTGTCTCCCCTGCTTGTATCCTGCTCAGTCACTTGACAAATATCTGCTGGATCACTTCAACAAAAAGGATTCACAGCCTCCTACAGCAGGGCTCTGAAGCTTGGAGGTGTTCAGGTGCTTTAGAAGGTTGTCCTGGACATCTCATATGATTCTGTTCTTACATCCTGTATTTTGTTTTGGGAATAGGCTTTATTCTATTTTTTTTTTTTTACTTCACTTTACTTGTTGTTCTGCTGTGTTGGGGGGTGTGTGTGTGTGTGTGTTCGTATTTGTTTTTTCCTTAATGTAATTCTGTGGTGAAATTTGTGTACAAATGCTTCTTTATAGCTTTTAGTGACATACAGATCAGATGTCTTCATGAAGTAACAAAAAGAATGCACTGACTTTCCACCTGGCATGTCCCAAAGTCTGTATGCTGTAGTATCTATATGCTGCTAAAAATGAAGATTTTCTTCAGAGTTTATTAACCATTCTGTTGATGATGCATCAGTTGGAGTAGAACCTATTCCTTCATGGTTTGATAGGACAAGAATGGGTTGATTATACCTGTTTTTACCACTACAGGGAACCAAAATGTGTAGCCTGTAACCTAAATAACTACAAGTTTATACAAGAAGCAGGTAATTCAATATAAAGAATCAATTTATTTTTTTATGAAGAACAGCCCTTCAGAAGATGTGTGGTCCAATTCCCCCTATCATCAGAGTGTAATTCTGTTGAAGTCCAGGAATCTGCAGCTGTTAAATCTAACCAGCTGGCAGGTTGTCTGAGTGTGCCTTGTCTCAGGAGTGAGCATTTTTAATAGCACTTCTTTGATTGACGGTAGACACTAGCAAATTGATTGACTGCCTGGCTTTTACACAGCTTTTAACAATAACCTGTAGTGTAGGCAACAGAAGCTGTATTACGCATCAGTTGGAAGATTTATGGTTTGTTACTGGAAGTAACTTAGTGAAATAGTATATAATATGACACAGTTAACAAGAAAAGTCCCAAAATATAGCCTAAAATTACTAGAAAGAAGAAAGTCTTCTGTGCTATAGAGGAAAATGGAAGAGAAAAATGAGTAATAAAGTCTGTAAAGAGTAGCTCTGAATAATGGAACTATCTGTAGTGACTGTAGTCTGACCGCAATATCAGATGAGTTGAGATTTTTGGTGGGTAAATGTTGATCGCATCAAATACTTCATTTGTTCCCAAAGGGCTTTCTTTTCAGGTGGTCTCAAACCTGAAATTCTGATTTGATACAGAGCATGAGGCAATTGCCATGTTTTGAAGGCCACTTCTTAAAATAATTTCTGGTGTTGAAATGTAGCACAATAAATGAGACTGATCCTCTAGAATGCTTTTTCAACCGGGAAAAAAAAAAATCAAGAAAACCAAATACGTAAAATATTTGATGTATTCATACTTGTGGCACAAATGAGATATACAAAGTAATTACTCTGTTGCTTAAAATATTTCATGTAATTTTAGAGATTTAAAAAGTCACATGAAAGCTTTGTGTATAGATTTTAATGCTTCTATCCACACATATTCGGATTTCATGTTGACCGATGTGTATGATGTGAGGAAGCAAACACTTGGGTGTTTTGTCATCCTTTAAGGGAAAATAAGGAAGGTTTTTCTCTAATTGCATCTAAAAGCTTTGAGAGTGGTCTATTTGAGAGACTGCAACAGGCATAAACTTGTTATGAACAAATTTATTTAATGTTTGTTACTGATTATCCTTTAAGAGACTTTATGTACAGATATAGAATGGTCAGAAGTTATGAATAAGCTTCCTGCTGTTTGGTTGGTGCTGACACTTAGCAGGAATTGCACTGGATGGGAAATAGAAGGCTGTTAGAAATAATGCTGTAAAAGGAAGAAGAATATAGCTTTAAGTTTCAGCTTCAACTTGTCAAGTTATATAAATCAGAAGTGTCCCATATTAAACAGTTTCTAAACTCTGTCTCGTGGCTATTCTAGTAGTCCCTTTCTGTGAAAAATTGAAGTGCATGGTTTTCATTAGGCCTTTTTCAGTATGTTCTTGGCACTTTATCTGCAGCAAGCTCATCACATTCCACACCTGGGTTGAGACCTGTGATATGGAGAAAGTAATTGGATGTGTCATTTGAACACATGTCAAAATTCATGTTTTGAGTTTGACACTGCAAAGTAGAACTGAAAGCAGAAAAGTACGGGAGATCCCTGTACTGTTGCTGTCAGTTCTGTTGTGACAAGGGTTAAGTATTGATAATATCGCTTTCCTTGACTCCTGAATAATGTTTCTTCACAGTGAATTTAGTTTGAAAAGATGTTAATGATGGAACCATACATGTCTTCCCATAGCTGGCTTTGAAGAGCAAGAGGCTAAGCAGAATGTAACTTCTCGAGATCATGTTTAGTGAGGAGGTTATTTTATGTAAATGTAGATGCCTGTTACTAAAGGTAGTTTCATGTGAAGAATATTCTTCATTTTCTTCTGTTTGATCACAAGATGTCTATAAATTTAATATTCTGTTCCACGCCTTGTTCCTCAGCTCCGCTTCCCCAGTTATGTTCAAAGTTTGGTGTAACACTAATTTGCATGTATGAATATTGATACAGTCTCACTGTATGTTTGGTTGGCAGTCAGATCTCTGTCCATTTTGTAATGAAGTTTTCTGTTCCAGATGCCTAGATGTTTCCAATTTTAGAGTTAAAATTTATAGATGGCAAGATAGAAAAAATATTCTTGTCTACTGGTCAACTGTGTTTTATCTCTGCTGAAGAAAGTTTTAAAATTTCTGTAGTCATGCACACGCATGATTAGGAATAAATTTAATCATGTGGTGGGTTTTACCTGAAAACTCTTCTATTCTGAAACTACAAATTCTGAAAACGTGAAGGTGGGTAGCTTTCTCTTACGTATAAAAATAACTGAGTTCTGGGTCTCAAATGTCTTTTATTTTCATGGCAAGTTAACTTGATACTAGAACTGTGAATAAAGCTTACCATTTCAAGCTAGTGTTTTCTTAATTGATAGAGTATAGGGATAAGTAATTTGCTGTGGTTTGATTATGAAACAGCAAGGTGATAATAATTCCATGTTGTTGACAATACCAAACAATTAATTGCAGCTGTGTTGGGCAAGCATGTACATCAGTTGTAGTAAGTGAAAATTTGTCATGATATGTCAGTGATGTATTTCTGCCTAGAACAAATGTGAAAATACAGATTAGTCTCTGGTTGGGTCTTGTCATCCAAAAATTCAGTAGACAGTAGTTCACTGATGTCATCAACATCAACTTGGCAAAATTGGGTTCTTAATGCTTGATATTTCTGTGGTTCGTTCTAATTATACCATTATCTTAATTTATTTTTTTTGCAGGTTGGGAGGTCAACAGAAAGCCCCATTGACTTTGTAGTAACAGATACTATTTCTGGAAGTCAAAATAATGATGAAACCCAGATTACGCAAAGCACCATATCCCGTTTTGCGTGCAGGATTGTTTGTGACAGGAGCCCACCATATACAGCAAGGATTTTTGCAGCTGGATTTGACTCATCTAAAAATATATTTCTTGGTGTAAGTACTACTAATAATTATGGTATGTATGAGCAAACTCTGTTTTTTATTTTCTGTTATTTTCAAGCCCAAAAATTTCCTTGTATTAGTTGATAACTTATACTGTTGTTAGACTTTTATTACCCCAGTGTACCAGCTGCAATATTAAGTAGAAACTGCAGTTTTACGAGCCTGATTTATTACCAGCACCGACTCATGGTCATAGTTGTCTTTAACAATGAAGCTTTGCTTTAGTAACTTAGTGGATTTTCTTTAGGTTGGTTTGATAAATTCTGGGTAGTCATTGTGAGTAAGATGCTGTTGCAGTTCTGAGTGCTGAAGACCAAGGCACGCATCAGCTGTGTTATGGAAAAGGATGTGCCCATTGCGATGGCATTCCATAATGGTTACTGACCTTTGAGGCCTTAACTCCTACCTAACCTGCAGTCAGAGGCACTCCACTGAGTTAAAAATATTAATATAGAAGATAGAAAAGTAATTGAAGATGTATGAGCAAAAAAATGTTACCACTCACACAAAGTATTCTTAAAAATGCTTTTTTCTTGTAAATCTATGTCTAAGCACTGCTGGCCAGTGAGGAAATGTATTTTAAACAGCGTTAGTAAAACCTCAGTGTGTAAAACTTTAGTCCATAAACTTTTAGACAAACTTTCTTTCCTGGGGTGGTTGTTACATGCAGGAAAAAGCAGCAAAGTGGAAAAATCCTGATGGCCACATGGATGGATTAACAACAAACGGGGTGCTGGTCATGCATCCAAAAGGAGGGTTCACGGAGGAGTCCAAACCTGGAGTTTGGCGGGAAATCTCGGTCTGTGGTGATGTGTACACTCTCCGGGAAACCAGATCTGCTCAACAAAGGGGGAAACTGGTAAGTTGAAAGTAGTGGTAATTAAAACAAAACATGGGATACTTGTTTTCCTGGCATTGAATGGAGGCAATCTTAGGGTGACTGCAGAGTAACAGTGTTGTCCCTGCATAGTGGGCACTGAAACCATCTAAATAGATGTGTTACAGTGGATTCTGTACTGCTATTCTGTTTCTACTTATACAGGAGAACACTCCTTAAGTTTTCTGCTAAAGTCACTTTTCCAACTGAAATAGCATAGAGTGTAAAAGCTAAATAAACTTTGCTCTTGAATCTTCATCTCTGAAATGTTCTCCTGGGGCATGGGGACATTTTGAAGTTACTGTGGGGAGCTGTCTTCTGCAGTAAGTATTATGGTGAAAGGAAGAGTCCACTTGCATGCAAAACAAGTTTGGAAAATGCAGCTTCTGTTTGATTTACCTGCCACTAGGAAGATAAGAGGAACCCTGCTAAGTATAATCTTTTTTTATCCTGTGAAGCAGAATGGGCTTTGCCTTTACCAAAAGTGAAAGATTCCAGCTGCCTCAGAGACCTCTGGGGCATACATAACCAGGAGAGGGGTTCCCATGAAAGTACGTGTCCACTTCTTGATAGAAGATGGGAGGGAATTCCCATAGTGCTCTCGTTCTTTCCCTTTCCCAAAATCTGTGGGGCCTATGAAGGAGAATGCTACCATTGCTTATCACTTTTCCCCTTGCCCTCAAAGGAAGGGGGGAAAAAAAAAAAAAAACAACAACCCACAATGCCATCATCTAGAAATAGCCCGGCAAAATACAGAGACAACCATATTTGCTTGTCAGTTGGCAGATGAGCTTCTCCAGAAGTCGTCTTTCTGTCTGGGTGGGCTTGAATGCTGTCCTGCCTGCAGACCTGGAAAAGCCAATTCTGCCCTTCGTTAGGGTTCAGGAAGCAAGAGGATGTTCAAAGGGTATCTTCACAGCAGCTGAAGGTGCCCCTTTTCTTTGTAACCTTATCACCCAGCTGCTAGACTTTAAAGACCGATAAAGTGTGCGTGGTGGAGGGAACAGCCTTCTCTTTTTCATGGCAAAGTTGCTTTTGCGCTGCTACGTTGAGTTCCCATTATCTTGATGGTGTTAGAGGTATCCCACGTGCTCACACTGACCCAACTTCCCAACTTTGCCATTGGCTTTGCAGAAAACTGAGTGCCTAAAGGAGTTAGGAAAATGGAGTTTGACTATTTTGTTCTGCTTTCAGTAGACAGCCTGCAGTACATAAATTGCTTTGTCACTTTAATGGTGGCAGGCAAACATCACCTCAGGGACTGGGACAGATGATGTTGCAATTGCGCCCTTTGTACGTGGTTAGCAAAGCACCTTTTTAGTGCTGCTAAAGAAAGGCATACTAAAACAAATAAATTCCCTTCTCTGCATCCAAAATTACTCGAATTCTCATTTAAATAAAATTACATGGCACACTGGTATTGATGTGATCAGTATTCGTTGATTGAGTTCATAAAACCAAATGCACACTGTATAATGAATTGAACATACTGCATACGAGAAAGCTTTTTGCTTTACTGTTTGTGGAGGAATTATCTGAAAAGTTCATCAAACCAAGCCTTCTCTCATCTCTAACTGCTGAATTTTTCTGATGGAAGTACTTTACACTGGTGACCTCTTATCTGTAGTCTGTACTGTACCATCTAGGTGTTTTGTGCAAGGATGATCTATGGTTAATCTGTGAATTTAAACTGGATTAAAATGTAAATGCCAAATTTGTTGCCATTTGTAGTATTCTTAAGCAGACATGATGGTTTCCTGTGACCTACTTAATGTATTTGTATTTGAGTATTTGCTTTGCCTTAGTGGCATTTTCTACAAACTTTCTATGTATAAACTCACACAGTAGGTCTGTTTTCCTCTTCAATTTCATAAAGAACTTTTAAAATATATATTCTTCATTACTGAACTGATAGCAATAGTACAAGTTGATTGTGTGTTTGTGGCATTAAAATAAAGAATATTTCAGCAAAGTACAACGTGTGTTTGGCATAATCCCATGGAAATGTTTTAAGTACCTGCTTTTAGTGAGATGAGAGAAGCCTTTAGGCAATGCACATTGGGGCTGTATTTGCATGAAATACCTCATTAAATAAAGGGCTTTAACTAGTTGGAGTTGTTATTTGTTCAGAAGTTGAGCCTGTGTGGCTTCAGTTGCAGAACTTGTCACTTGAGGAATTCAACTGGTAGATCACTCTGCTGTAACGATAATCTATGCAAGTACCTGTGCGTGTAGCTGTTATTGCATTTGTCATTTATTCCTAATGTTTCTGTGGAAGAGTTTCACTGTTGATGAGGTACACTGTGGGAGTTCATGCTTCTGCAAAATGCTTTACAGTTGCCACAAGCCAACAAAATGGATTCTGAGTGGCAGTATAGCTGGTCTGTCCTGGGTATCAGTTTTTAGTTCAAAAAAGGATCTTTTGCTGCGTGAGCAGCCTCTGCCAGTCTACATGGGCAAAGAATTGCAGGGGAGCAATCTGCTAATACAGCCCTTAGGGAATGGCAAGTTTTCTTTTCAGTCTATCATGATTTACCTCAAACATGAAGACGACATACAGAGAATCAGTATTAGAGAGAAAAAATAGCATGCTCAGAGGTAGGGGGTGTTTTGAAGAAGTTAGTGATTACTAACATAATACCTTTCCCGGAGAATTACAGGCAGGAAGACTGTGTATGATGATTAGTATTGCCATAGCATGTGACAGTTGCAAATTTAGGACCTCCTGTATAAACAGAGAATAAGAGAGCAGTGCTCACTATAATGTTAAATATAAGGTAAGAGATGGATTCAAACAAATAGGGGGCCATGAGGAAACAATAAGACAATATTAGCTAGCATGCTGGGAGGGGGTAACGGTTGGATGAAACAGATGACACATTTACAGAACTCACTCATTTGATTGTAAAAGCTCTTGGGCTTAACTGCTTCTCCTTGTGTTCTACCACTAGGTAGAAAATGAGACCAACGTCCTCCAAGATGGCTCTCTCATTGACCTGTGTGGAGCCACCCTTCTGTGGAGAACGGCAGATGGACTGTTTCACACTCCAACTCAGAAACACATTGAAGCTCTGCGACAGGAGATAAATGCTGCCAGACCACAGTGTCCTGTTGGGTTAAACACTTTAGCATTTCCCAGCATCAACCGTAAAGATGTGGTAGAAGAGAAGCAGCCTTGGGCATACCTCAGCTGTGGTCATGTTCATGGCTATCACAACTGGGGACATCGCAGTGACACAGAAGCCAATGAGCGGGAATGCCCTATGTGCAGAACCATTGGCCCCTATGTGCCTCTTTGGCTCGGTTGTGAAGCAGGCTTTTATGTGGATGCTGGTCCTCCAACTCATGCTTTCACCCCTTGCGGACATGTGTGCTCTGAGAAGTCTGCAAAATACTGGTCTCAAATCCCACTGCCTCATGGTACTCATGCATTTCATGCTGCCTGCCCTTTTTGTGCAACACAACTGTCTGGGGAACACAACTGCGTCAAGCTAATTTTTCAGGGTCCAATTGACTGATATCACTTTGCAGCGACCACAATAACATTTTCTTTAACAATTTACTGTGAAGATTTTGCCACTAACTCTAGATTTTACCTTTTTTTATAATGTTATTAGTAGGGTGGTAGGGTGGGGATGGGGAACCGACAAGGAAATAGTGAGGGACTGTGGTGGAATTGGGATACATTGATACCTGGAACTTGACAGATATCAGTGGTGTTGCATGCTCAAAAGCAGCATATTCATGAAGTCTTCTTGGTCAAATTGTAGTATATTTGTAATCTTTTTATTAGTACCCTGGATCAGAAAAAGGTGTCTTAATGATTTTTTTTAAGCTAAGATTTTTTAATGAGAGGTTTTTTCTTCTAAACTTTGACAAACCTTTAAAACCTATTTTTCAAATCCAGAAGGAACATACAGAATGTAACTGTCTTTAATTTGCAATATAATTTAACTTGAATAGTTTCTCAAGGAGCTAATACAAAAATGTGTGGACAGCCATAGGTGAATGTTCACTAGAGATAATTGGATATGTAAGAGAAAAATTAGCTGCCTAAATTGTTGAGTATAAAAGCTATTAAAATATCTATTATGGTATATCACAGCTGGCCAAAAAGGCATCAAGGATTACTTGAAACTGAGGAAATCCCATTTGCATTGATTTCCTTTCAGTGTAATAGATATCCACTGTTCATTATGTATGGTATATGCCTGACTTTTTTTATTTTTTTTTTTTACTTTTTTTTTTTTACCTCTTTAACCTGCATCTGGTAAAACTGCTTTACTCTTTTACATACATAGTTCTGGTTTTTAAACCAATATTCTGTATATGTGTAGTCTGGCCTTTTTATTTCTGCTTAACTTAGCTTGCCCTAACTGCTCCTTGCATGCCCAGGACCATTGGGTTGATCGAGATGTAGCGAGCCTTTAAAAACTGCATTAATGAAGGGGTAGTGCCGCACCAAGACAGAAGGTTTAGGTACAGCTCATACAGAACTTATTTACATAGCCCTGAATTCAGGAAAGCACTTAGTTCATGTTTAAGTATAAGCCCATGGATGGGACTGTTTAGATTCTCAAGTGCTTCAATGGATTGTGGTTATATGCTGTTATGTTTTGAAATAAAAAAGCAATTAAAAATAAGTTATTTTTTTTAAGCTCACTTACTAGCCAAAATGCTGTAAGGAGAGCATCATTTCTAGTTCAGCTGAGTATTTTGGTTCAGTTTTCAACTTGCTGCCATCTGTCACCTTTTTTTTGCAGATTGAGATGTGTTTGTATCCATTTTTTTCAAATGTTTGCAAATCAAACAACATTCAAATGTAATCAAATATATGCACCAGGGTGGTACATCTAAAGTGGTTCACTTGAAATTCCTGACTTTTTAAGAGAGCTGATAAATGTTTACTATGGAAATAATTAAATCAGAATTTCATATGAGATGTACCCCGCCCACTGTTAGTTTCATTTCATACAGAATGATAACTCCTTGATTTGTGGGTTTTTTCCTTTTGCTTTCTGTACTCTTGGTATCTGAGGTATCAATCTATCCAGGCTTAAAAAAAAAGAAAGAAAAAGAAATTGGGAGAAAATTATAACATCTCTAGATTAAATTGATCATTCAAGCTCAGTTCTGTTTAATCAACTATAGCTTTTTGCTATATTTGTGCCCTTTGTATAAATATATAATTTATATGATTTTAATATATTCTGTATATATATACTTGAATTGGCCTGTTCATATTTTGGTTGTAAAATTGTTTTATAGTTAACCTTATAAACATTTTACATGTCCCTTGCTAATGGTGATGGGGACGTACTTTGTCTGCTGCTGTTTTTAATATAATTTTGCTGTATAAATGTTCAGCATTTGACTAATTTGAAAATAGCTTTACTTTTCTTTTTATGCTTTTGCTGTTAAAAAATTTTCTGCAACGTTTTCTCCAAAAATCCCAAACTGTACAGTTTTTGTCCCACTGAGTGATTGGAAATAAGATGAATCTTGTTAACCTAAAACTATATTGCTTCTTCCTAGTGCCTTTTCAATGAGATCCTCTCGTGATTCTGTATTCCAAGTCCTTACTCCCACAAGACAACCTTGTGGCTAATCTTCAAGAGTGGCAGCCCAGCCGGATTGGGAAGAAACGCCTTTGGCCTTCAGTTCCTTGTCATGGTCTCTGTCATAAACGTGAAGGTGCCTCTTCCTTGTTTATGTTCAGTACAAGTTCCTCAGGTCCCATATGCATACTGCAGCATTATTTCTATTTAGCATATACCTCATCTGTGAGAGGCAGTCTCACCTCCACCTCGTTCTTACTGGACTCTGAAATACTTCACTTTGTTGCTCACACGGGATGCTGTGAAAACACTTTCAGAACGTGTTCCTTGTTGAATTAAGGCCACGAGCTGTGTGCTGGGGCTGGTGGCCAGAGGTCTGGAGCTCTGTGTACGACAGCTTCGCGGGTCTGGGGTGGCAGCTGTACTGCTGAGCTGACCAGGACTTGCATGTGTAGTCTCCCACTGTAAGCCTGCAGGTTCCCAGGCATCTCTGTTCTCGAGCTGCTTTACTTTCTTCCTTCGCTGTTGCAGTTTAATGGCTGCTTCAGGACTTCATATAGCTGTGCCCTGAGCAAAGGGCCTGTGCTTTGTTAGAAGAATCCTCACTGGAAGCACTAGCACATCCTCTGGTTGGGGTGCGTTTGGTTTGCATGAAGTGGAAGACTGGCTAATGGTTTGTGTCTGAGGGAAGTGTCCGTTTGAAAAGACCTGTTTCAAGCGAGATTTTTGTTTCTTTCACTGTCGGCAATTCTGCAAGAAGTACTGCAGGAAGGAGAACTCTCCTCTTATCTGGGAAACAAGCTTCCACGGTTCTTTTGCATGAATCCAGGTACTTTGCCTTTAACCTGTATTCAAATCTGGGTTGAGTCCCACAGAGCTGGATTTACTGGGAAGGCAGAAGACTTTGTAGCATTATTTTTCTCAAACGCTACTGCCACATATGCTGCTCTAATGAAATCATGGACCATTTGGCTGCTTAGCCCTTTTTTCCTTCCCTCATCTCAGTAAATGTACACCTTCACTGGTCTGGTAACTTGACAGGAGAAAGTAGTTTCTGGATCAATATGACTGGTTTTGTTAGGAGTGAGTAAACTTGAGAACCACCCTTTAACTTTGTTTTGAGAGTTTATTTCATGATTTGAGTGTTACGATATTTCTTACGTACCATTTCAAATGCTGGCAGTGTATTCTGCAAGGCTTTTATTAACCTGTTACTGCTGATTCTATTTAAATGTTTCAAAACCAGTTTTGACTGCGTAACTTACAGTTAAAAGTATTTTTCTAGTATGATCTTCAAAGAAAAAAAAAAATCTGCTATACCCATGCATGCTGGAACTGTAACACTTCCCTTTTTCCTGGCAGCTTTTTGATAGAGTGCTGAAGTCTAAATAGATGACGGAGTGGTAAGCGTTGTTCTTATTTTGAATCGCGGTCCAAGTTGTACAAAAGAGTTAGCATGATACTGTGTTTTAGTCACAAATTTTTTTTCAAGTTTGGTCACTTTGTGCCTCAGGGTACAGTAGTAGTACTGTACTGGCAGAGTATTTAAAGGAGGAAATTATTTTTTTTTTTTTTTTGTAAGGCTGGGAATGGAGCTCAGAAGTGATGAAAGCCATTGTCAGGCTGGTTCCAGTAGGGACAGACCCACCTTGAAGCAAAGGAACTGATCAGAAAAGTGATTGTAGCTGTTCCCTCTTTCAGACCTGGTTTATGCTCTTAAAAGGATTCTCCTTGGTTCATTAGGAAGCTCTGCGATGACAGGAAAGATCTTCCCAACAAAACACTCTTTTTTAATGGCAGTTTGTGGAATTTGAGGGCTCCGCTTCAGAGCCTGAGCGAGGAGCAGAGGTGCTGAGCATACCGTAGGGAGAAACTGCAATAGTCTCTGAACAGAACTCACCTTCTAACTCCATGCACCACCCAAAAGAAACTGTTGGTTGTAACTCTCCCTTTAGTGCTGTTGCAGTAGCTGATTGCTTTGCTCACCATTTTTTTTTAGTTTTCTGGAAGTGGAAGGAAGCTTTGCCAAGCCTGTCATGTTTCTGTTCATCCAGCTCATGGTCCTGACACTTTTCTGGGGTCAGAGAACTGTTGGTAGTGATCTGGCCATCATGAGAACTGAGAGGGGCATTTAAATATGGTTTTAGTGCGGTAGGAAAACTGACCTGGCTTGACTCCTGCTCTTGCTTTTAAAGTAGAGCTGCAAATACGCTTTTGAAATGAGCTGTGCTTGTCCATTCTTTGTAAAGGAACGCTCGGTCACGGGTGGTTAAGTCTTATTTTCCCTGAGCCTTGTTAACATGCAGTGTTGGACGAGAAGGGGACTTGGCAGGTAGGGTGATGGGAACAGATAGGAACCAGAAATCTGTTAGGTGCTTGAGCCGCATGGGTGCGGACAGCCCAGCGATTCTGCAGTATTCTGGCCAAGGATTCCTCCTCCTCCTCGTTTGCTCAGTTTTCAGCCTCTTGTAAGTTCTTGGCTCCTCTCATTTTCTATTTATCCATGTAGCTGCAGGTAAACAAGTAAATATAGCATGGAAAGGAAACAAGGAAGAGAATTAGAGAGATACCTTCGGGCTTGCTTATCTCTTCAAGGAAAATATAAATTGGAGTTGCAAATGTCTTTTACAGACTTTCTTGTTATACTGATTTTTATAAGCACTCTTCACAAGTCTTCACACTTGGTGTTGTGAATTAAAAGGCAAAACTTAGAAAGTAAGGCTGTTTTTGGGGGGGTGGAGGGTGGAGAGGGGGGTAGTTTCTAGGATGAAGTCGCAGTAGTTCTGCAGGCCCTGTGCAAACCGTGTCCCACTGCCCGCAGCGGACACTTCAGTCTTGAAGGAACAGTAGAGTCAGCCTCGACAGGTGGTGAAGATAGAGCTTCAGTTTCTGTGTTGATCAAAGTTTTCATTTATTGTCAGTGGAACAAAAATACGAATTGCGTGAACAGCCAAACTACAGATGAAACTGGTGGCTGTCAAGATTTCCTTTTAATGGGGCGTGTTTATACTTTCCTGGTGGGCAAGCCAGTCTTCGAGTCACCTGGAAGTCCCTTCTGTTTGTGTCATGGTGATTAGGGATGGGGATCACTTTCTTCTCAGATCAAATACATGATGGAGAGCCCCTGGAAGGCTCCTTCTTGTGGCGCAACCATAGGAAAAGTCTCGTTCACACATTGAGCCCTGTACGATGGAGAAGTGATGTTTACCTTTAAATGGTGTTAGCAGCTGCTAAAACTTCTGGGTATATTTGTAAAATTGGTCTTTTATACGCCATGTGAGGTGGACTGAAATAATTTCTTCGCTCTTGTACCTGTGGAAGTACAAGCCATTTTGCAGGGGGAAAAAAAAAAAACCAAACCAAAACAAACAAACTTAAAAAAATAATAATTAAAATACTATCTCAGTATTGTCACTGACTCCTTCAGTTCTTTTCCCTGCTGGTTGGTTGTCAGAGTTTAACTTTGATTTGCAAAAACATATAAATAACTTCAGAAACAACTGGTTTCTCTTACTCTTTTATCCTCCTTCTTCTACTCCTCCACAAACAAAAGCCTAAGCCTTTGATTGAGGATTCTTAAGTATTCAAGGTAGTGGAGTGTATTCAGGTGTGAGTGCCCCGAAATTTCTGTTAATTCACTTCCCTGATTTTTTAAATTGAACTGTTTGTTTTCAATGCCAACTGCCTTCTTGCGGTGTTAACATAATTGCTAAATAAAAGCAATTTCCAGGAATAATATGCTTTGTGACTCTTAAAATTAATTTCCATAATGGTAATTCAGTGTTTTGTTTGCATCTGTGTATTCATCCCTTTTTGTATGCAGTCCCTGTGAGTACACAAGCTTCATTTTTTAAAATGAGCTCAAATGAATTGTCTGCCTTTTTTGGTAAGTAGGAGAAAAAAAAAAAAAAAAAGTTGGCGTGAGCATAGGAAAGGGAAATAAAGATATCTGCAACTTTCTCTAGATGTGGTTGTCTGCCAGCTGGCTATTGGGCTTCTTTGTAATTGAAGAGCATGAAATAATTTCCAGGGAAGATTCTCCCAGGCGAATGGGAAAAGCGCTGGGTTATTTGTAACTGTGTCCACGTACCAATAGAAGAGGAAACCCTCTTTCCTCCGGGACCATCGCTGTCTCTGTAGGGATCAGCTTCATTTCGGGACAGCTTCACAAGCGGGGCTGGACAAGCCGCTTCCAGCGGTGGCCAGAAACCGGGGGGGGTTCCGAACAGGCAGTCTGTGCTTGGAGAAATGCAGCGCACGGGTGAAGCACAGCCCTTGGTACCTGAGCAAAGACGGGCAGGGGCCTCGTCTGTTTAAAACAGTTGGAGGTGACCTGAGAGAAGTAGTTCTGCTTGTGGTGGGGGAGAGGATTCTGCTAATCCTTAGCGGAGAACAAGGAGCAGCGAGGCAGGAAGAAGTGTCGCAGCTCAGATCCTGATGCAGCCCATAGGACGCCTCAGTAGGAACCTTTTGTGAGCTTTTTATGCAAATCGGGCAGATTTTACATCAATTCTGCCAGGCAATGCCAGAAGTTTGGGTTTTCACTTAAACCTACAACTTCCAGTCTGTTCTCAGTTCATTTTATGCAAGGCAACGGGACCAAAAGTCATCCTATTGATCCCATTTCCTTGCTGCTTTTCTCCTCATTCTTCCAGCTACCTGATTAAAGATGCTGTCGTCTTTTTTCACTCCCTGCTGAAGAGAGCATCTATTCCTGCCTCTGTTACCTGGCTGTAAAACTTTACTTCTTACTGCAGCTTGTGCTGCTGGAAAATGATCTTTGTGAGAGGTTTCCAGAGCATTCGTGATTACTGCTTTTCCTTCCCTTTCAAGGTGTTGCTGTATGGATGCATAATTTTAGGAGAAACTTAAGAAATCTCTTTCATGTGAAACTAAGGGAAGCAGAAGCTTGACATAGGAGTCTGAGCCTGATACTTCTTTTTAACTCGCTGAGAAGACAGGCTCAAGATGAGGGAATACTTAACAGCAGAAAGGAATTCAGTAGAATCCCAATTACATCAGTGCTTAAAATAATATATATACACATGTATATAATTATATATGTCTAGAGATACATTTTTGTGGAGTACTTGTCTTAAATGCTGTGTTCTTAAAGCTCTAGGTAAAGCAGACTGCAGAGGCGGGGCCCTGGCCTTTGAGCTGAGCGGGGATTTGCTACTTCTGGTAGAAAATGTCCTCAGCGAGAGCCGCAGAGAGGAGGCAGGCGACTGTACCCAAGTCTAAAAATAACCTCAAACTCCTTCCCTCGATGGTGAGGCGCTGGGGGGCTGTTGCTGCCCTTTCCAGAGAAGTGACTCCGACCCCCCCCCCCCCCCTTCAGTGTGGGGTTAAATTGTGGGGTGTGGATGGAGCTGGGCTGGCCCTGGGGCCGGCTGAGCCCACAGCCCAGGGAAGGGATGCTGCCGGCTGCGCTGGCGGGTCTCTGTGGTCCGAGGGTTTCTCTGTGCTCCTCCTTGTTTTCACATCACCTTGCGAAGGCGAAGCTGGGGGGGGGGGGGGGGGGGGGGGTGTGCTCCCAGGGGGCTGAAATCCAGCTGTGGCTCCAGAGCAGCTGCACCGCCAGGTGTGTTAGCAGGGAGAGGAGCTGGGGCTTGGGCTCGGCGGGATTTGGGCCAAATTGCCTGTCAAGCCAAGGCCACAAATCCAGCTCTGCAGGCTGGGGAGAGCAATGAGTAACATCTGGCTAATCTCAGGTCTGCGGCGCGTCCCTTCCCCTCTTCATGTTTCTCTGATTAAATCGAAGCGAGGAGCCAGGGAGGGAGTGGAGGAAGGGCGAATGGGCCGGAGTAATTTTCCTGATGAGAGGGTCCAGATAAGGGCTAGGCTGAGCGTCGTCCCAGCAGGGTCTGTACAAAGTGGAATCTCTTCTCGCATTAGGTGTGATTCAGCGGACCCTGCCTGTGTGTGTACCAGGAGGCTGGTGTGTTCCCCAGCCCTGGGCTCTCACCCCACTCCTGCTTCGTAGTCCTGGGAAAGCTGCTTTGCTTTTCCTCTCCCATGGACACGCAACTTGTCTTGTCCTGTATGGAAACCTTGACCTCCACCGAAACCTTCAGGTCCCTGCAGGAGGGCGCTTAAGGGTGCTGCCAGAGCCACCCCACGCTACAGGGGCTGTCTGGGCACCTAAGGCCAAAAAATTAACAGAGCCCAGCCAGGGGATGGCAGCAACTCAACAGGGAAGGCAGGTCTGAGTTCTGGCTTTTCCCTGCTCTACCCTTGGGTTGGACGTTTTTCATTTCCCCTTTCCTATCTAAAGAATAGGAACTACAGGGCTACCTAGCCCTGTTTGGAGAGTTGAAGCAATGATTTGAGGGTTTACTGAAAGAAATCTGGCTTTTAATTAAAGGGTTTTATCCCCCCTTCTTGCAAGCAGAAAACAAATATTTCCATTTTTTAAATGGCAATGTTCCCTGCCGAAACCAGTGTGTGCCTTCATGTCTCTCCTCTTCCTTCACCCGCCATGGGCTCCCAGGAGTACTGTGCCTTTGGAAAGATTTGTTTTCTCCCTCCCTCCCTTCCCATCAGGATAAACCACCGCAGTCCACTGGCCGGGTCCTTCATATCAAGATCCTCCTGCCCTTCCCTTGGCTGGGGAGAGTGGGCCTCTCCTTGGGAGCAGAGCCAGGAGGGTCACTTCGCCAGATCAGGAGTAGCTGGGGATTTGAGCGCATGTAACCGAGCACGTCTAGACAGCCAGGAGCCTCCAGCAGAGAGAACAGCGAGTTTTACAGGCGGTCCCTGACCTACAAGAAGAAAATTTTCCTCACCCAACGCACGTGGGGGCCAGATGTTCTGCCTCGCCTTCGCTGCGGGCATCCCCACGCTCCGGAGCGGTGTGGACAGCGAGCAGCGAAGGCGAGCTCCTGCTCTGCTGCCCGAGGTGAGGTTTGCCAGGCAGGGACATACACACGGGTAGCGAATGCAGAAAGGGCTTGGATGTGTTTGGACAGACCAGGAACGTGCAAGGAATCTGAGAAACTTCAGCTTTGGTCCAGCTGTGTAGGGTTCAGCTTGGCAGCAGGTCTGGTGTGTCCTGCGTAGGACGGACTTGCAAGCCATCAGGCCAGAAAGTGCATGCCAAGCAGCTATCTGCACAGGACTTCCAAATATCCAAATCCCTTTTTTTTTTTTTTTTTCTCCCCACTTTCAGGTGAAGGAAGAGAAGACATTAAAATCTAAATAATTCACAGCCCTACAGTCAAGAGGTGGTGTCTGTAGCCTCAGTGGAAGGGTGTTATATTTAAGGCAAAGGAGCAACTTAATTGTCTTTATCCTAAGCATTGTCTCATCAAGTTTCCAGGGAAGGTGATTTTTTTTTTTTTTTTCGGTCTTTGCTCACAAATGCTAAAGCTCTACTGCTGTAGATTACTTTAAATAGAAAAAACATCTGATCTGGATAAAGTTTTCCCCACTCAAAAACCTTCAACCAGTTTGGTCTGAGTAAACTCTACAATCAGTATCGTCACTCCTCTATCAGCTTCCAATCAGAAGTGTTGGGAAAAAGTTTGTTCTGTAGAAACTCTCAGCATTTTAAACTCTATTGTGGACAACCAAATAAAATACTGAAAAAATGATATTTCCGGAAAGATTCAGAGGTTCGAGTCAGTGACTCCACAGTGGTTTCTGTTACTGGAAACAACGTGTGTGCCAGCAAATACACCAGAAATTTCCTCGAAAGCCCAAAGTCTTTTCAAGTGATTCACAATGCCAGGCAGGCTGGGAAGAGAACCCAGACATTGTCTGCAGATTTGAGGGACTTGGCATATTTTGTATTTAAGGTCTGTGATTAATAAACACAGAGCCTGCTAGGAGATAGGGCCCTCAGCTCAGCGAGGCCACCTCAATGCCCTGCAGAGGCTGGTGAAACCGCTGTGCTTCTCTGGATCTGGCTTTTTTTTTTTTAAGGGAAATTTTTGGAAGCAGATCTGGGGGTGGTGGCAGGAGTTCTCTGACACACGGCTGTGTTTAGCCTGGGGGGATAAAGCACCATTAATATCAGTACACATACAGCAGCCCTGTCTGTGTCCCTGCTTCTCCTGCGCTCTACAAGCACGGATCAAAGCAGCCAGGTCCTGCCCTTCTGAACGGAAGATGCGCTTGCACTGATGGATTTCTCTGAAGAAAAAAAACAAAACAAAAACATCTTGGTTTTGAAGCAAAGAATAAGCTCACAACGGGAAACCAAAGCATCTGATGGATGCTGTAGCCCGGAGTTTGCTCTGGCAGCCCTGACAAATGCACAGGTTTCCTTCGGGACCCCGATCTGCAGAGTGTTGAGCAGCATTAACTAACAGCTTCTGGCCCCTGGGCCTTTATAAACTCTTCTTTCAAGAGGGATGTGACAGTGGTTGAACACTCACATCTTCACCTGCTGGTGAAGCCGTACCAGGGTGTAATGGGTGGCTTGTGTGTCTCAAAGGTTGAGGTTTAAGTGTTTTTGTTCCTGTTGACAGAGTACCACTGTAGGATTATGCTGATGTTGCAGGAATTGCCTTCTGCTTTCCTTGTGAGCTGTCCTGAGCCCCTCCGTGGTAAAAACCCAAAGCACCATCAGCCTCAAGCACTTGCTTTCTATGTTTCTGGTGATCTACCAGCTTCGCCCAGAAAACAGCCTCTGGGCTGTGTTGAAGAGCTGTATGGATAGAGTAGTAACTGTCCCAGTGCTGGTTGAACATTCTGTTCCCATCAGGTTTTTTCTGGGGTTTGGTGGCTCTA